GGGAGTGAAGAGGAAGTGCGGAGTATGGAAGTGGAGCAACCTGTCAAGAAACAGCAAGAGCAACATGAAAAGAGACCTACAATGAGACAATCAAACCGGAGAGGAAGCTCCAAATTGGAGCTCTCCAAAGGATTGCAATGGGGAGTATGGCTGCCCAACAGGGGAAGAGGCCACAAGGAAGGGTCTGGAGGAGGCAGAAACAAAGCACACAAAGACATAAGATAGGAGCACAGGTCACGCCTCAGAAGAGGGCGGTTGAGGTTATTGGGACAGTGGTGGCGAAAGATCACAGGGAAGAAACTACCCTGAAGAGGGCAAGGACCCTGACTTTCCCAGCTTTTCCAACTACTCAGGAGGAAGCAAACCAGGTACAAATGGGGGGGAAAAGGACATCAACAGGATGTCCAGGTGGGCAGAGAGCACGCAGGAAAGCGGGTGACAATGACAATGGATGGCGGAAAGGCGGACCTTGACAAGGATCAGGGCCGCCAAGCCCAATGAGTCTCATGAGCTACAACTGCCGGGGACTGGGGAATGCCCTAGCAGTTGGGAAAGTGAAGATGCTGCTGCGTCAAAAGAACCCCGTTGCAGTATTTCTCATGGAAATACACTTGTATGATGGAGAATGGGAAGGTAAGATTAAAGAGTTTGGGTGGCTGCTGGCAGAAACAGATCAGGAGGGTTACTCATGATGTGGAGAGAGGGAATAGAGATGAACCTGAAAGGGAGTGACAATAACCATATGGACTTTGAAGTAAAAATGGAGGGAGGTAGAGATTCTTGGAGGCTAACGGGAGTGTATGGGTGGCCTGAAAGTAGTAATAAGAACAAGACTTGTGAGATGCTAAGAGGGCTACATAATATGGTGGACAAACCGTGGTGTGTAATGGGGGATTTCAACCTCATCATTGACTATATTGAGAAGAGTGGAAGCTGTAACCCAAGTGTGCGAGAGATGGAGGAATTCAGGGCTGCTCTAGAAGATTGTGAGCTGGAGGATCTAGGATTTTATGGAAGTTGCTTTACCTGGGAAAACAACAGAGAAGGGGAGGCGTACACAGAGGAAAGACTGGATAGGGTGGTCTGTAATCAGGATTGGAAGATGAAATTCCCTTTAGCCAGAGTATACCACCTTCCAAGATGTGGCTCGGATCATATACCACTCCAACTGATGCTAACATCCGAAGAGGAAGAAGTAAGCTGGGGATGGTCCTTTCGGTTTGAACCATACTGGCAAAGACATGAAGCGTGCAAAGAAGTGATAGAAAGGGGATGGAGAGCGGGGGATCATGGGAGCCTTTTGGAGAAAATTAAAAACTGTGAGATAGAGCTTCAAAAATGGAGTAAAGAGGCGTTCGGGTCTTTGAAAGAGAGACGCAGGAAAGTGGAGAGGGTTCTGGCAAGATTAGAAAAACAACCAAGAACTAATGCTGTGCAAGCTCAGAGAAGAATGGCGCAGCGGGAATTGGATGAAATATTGATGCAAGAAGAAAGCAAGTGGAAGCAGCGGTCGAGAACCGATTGGCTAAAGGAAGGGGACCAAAACACGGGGTACTTCCATCGTAAAGCCTCTGAACGAAGGAAGAGGAACACAATAAAACGATTGAGGGATGCAACCGGGCAGCTCCATGTGGGACAGGAAGAAGTGACCAAATGCTTGGTTGAGCATTACAATGAGTTGTTCACTCCAGAGGAAGACATACAGACGAGTTCCATCCTATCGATGGTCCAACCGAAGGTAACTGATGAAATGAATAATCTATTGCTACAACCATACACAACAGAGTAGATCTGGAATGCACTCAAACATATGGGATCTTCAAAAGCCCCAGGAGCAGATGGGATGTCCGTTCTATTTTTCAAAAAGAATTGGGAGATAGTGGGGTCGGATGTGACAAGGGAGCTAACAGAGTACTTGGAAAGGGGATCATTTCCAAGGGAACTGAACCATACACTAATAACTCTGATCCCCAAAACAAAAAAGCCAGAAACCCCTATGGAATATCGTCCAATTAGCCTCTGCAAGGTTCTATACAAGATAATGTCAAAAGTCCTTGCTAACAGGCTAAAGAAGATTCTGAACAGGGTGATAGAAGAGAACCAGAGTGCGTTTGTACCTGGCAGGTACATAACAGACAACGTGATGGTGGCTTTTGAGTGTTTCAATGCTATGAAAGGAAAGAAAGAGGCGAAGAGAGGGCTAATGGCAGCAAAATTGGATATCTCAAAAGCCTGTGACCGAGTTAATTGGGGATTTCTGAAGGCCATGATGCTGAGGATGTGATTTGATGGGAGATGGGTGAATTTGATAATGTCCTGTATCACGACTGTCTCCTTTTCAGTGCTAATAAATGGTCACCAATCAAAAGTTTTTGAACCTAAGCGTGGACTTAGGCAAGGGGATCCAATCTCCCCCTACCTATTTCTTTTGTGTGTGGAAGGACTCTCTGCCAGGACTAGGAGAGAAGTTGAGGAAGGAAAGCTACATGGGATCCAGGTGTCCAGAAGAGGACCAGTTGTATCTCACCTCCTATTTGCAGATGACAACATTTTTTTCATGAGGGCGAGTTCAACAAAATGTGAGCAACTCAAGGAAATACTCAAGTTGTATGAGAAGGAATCAGGGCAATAGGTCAATCTTCAGAAGTCATATCTGACTTTTAGCCCGAATGTGAAAAGTGATCATCGAGCTAGGCTAGCAGGGATACTGGGAATGAAGGAAGTGGAGGAGCACACGAAATACCTAGGCCTCCCTACAATTATTGGAAGAGAGAAGAAATCGGTTTTTGGGGTCTTAGTGGACAAAGTAAAGAAGAAGATCAAACTGTGGAAGAGTCAGTGTTTATCTAATGCAGCAAAGGAGGTACTAATCAAGGCTGTTGCCCAGGCCCAAGCAACATATACTATGTATGTGTTCCTAGTTCCTGATGGGGTGCTAGATGAATTAAGAAGTGCAATACTTAATTTTTGGTGGGGACAAAAGAAGGAGGAGAAGAGGATACCATGGAAAGCCTGGAAGAAATTGTGTGAGCCTAAAGCAACAGGAGGTCTGGGATTTAGGGACTTGAAGGTTTTCAACCTCGCCCTACTAAGGAAGCAGATCTGGAATCTTATGCAAAATCCAGATTCTCTAGTAGCCCGGGTATTGAAAGCTAAATATCATCCCAATTCAGATATCCTACATGCCAGAATGGGGTACAACCCTAGCTATGTGTGGAGGAGCTTGATGGCGGCACAGGAGCTAGTAAGATATGGGGTTCGATGGAGAATTGGAAATGGGACGGAAGTGGAGATATGGAGAGATAGGTGGTTCCCAGAGGTAGAAGGGGGGAATCAGTTGGTCACTTCACCAGTAACTAACTTGGGCATATCAGCTAAGGTGTCTGCCCTAATTGACCATTCAACTCAGCGTTGGCGATCAAATGTGATCCAACAAAACTTTAACTCTCTGGACAGAGCAAGAATATTGTCAATACCACTGCCTAGATTTCCCCAACCAGATAAACAGGTATGGAGTTTTGAGAAGAAGTGGATCTACACTGCAAAATCGGGCTAGTGGTAAGTGTTCCCGCCTGTCACCCGGGTCAACCGTGTTCTATCCCCGGCAACGGCGTTTAAGTTTTTCTGCTATAACTGTTTTCCTCGCGACCTGACTGGCCATCTGTTTGACCCGACTGTATGCGCGTTGCATTGCCCCCTAATTCGTTGCATTTACAAGTGCAGATAAGTTGTTCGACGATTTGCCCGTGAGAAAACTTTTGGTTGCTCGCAAAATTTTTTGGTCATTTACAATGATCGATCGAAGGAGATATCGTCAACATGCTTGCTTTCGCGAAAGGAACCGTCGCAACGGGCGGCGGCTATGTTTTTCTTGCTGCTGAACAACTTCGTCGGGGGAAATTGGGCAAGAAGTCGGCGTCGCTGCAGCTAACAACGACAACGACGATATTTGCACTAATTGGTGGCACCCATCCCTAATCAGTTCCAAGTAAGTAAACTTTACGCAATAGTTCATGTCGCATTGTCTTGGGGGAAATCTTTCAATTTTCTATAGATAGCTTGTTGGTCCCAACTGCAATTATGGGAAAGAGGGGGCGATCTCCAAAGAGATCATATCGAATGTCATGTTGGTTTGATTGGTCCCAATACGAAGGATACAAGTGAGGAGCAGAGCAACCATTAGTCCTTCACCTCATTATGATATCTTCCAGCCAATGCTATACTCTACCCATCTAATGGGGTCTGTAGTATGATCCTGGGGGGCTGCAAATAAGGAAGGGAAGGAAGGATTACTTCTCCAACCAACCTTTCCTACTACCCTCCATTTCCTTAGGTCCATGTTAGGCCTCTATAGCCCATCATAATTCATAAGTTTTCATAATGCTGCTACAAACAAGATTGTATCCATCCAAAGCTCTTGATTTCAAACTCCCTATCATCATGTGTTGAAATATAATGGCTTGCTCCCTGCACAACGTCTCACATATTTATGGCTGTCTGGTGTAGTTGTTAAAAACCATACCAAACCAGGACCCAAGTCTTAGTTTCTTCTACTTATTCTTGTCAGATGATGATTGTCTAGGTCTTCGAAGTAGATTCAAGTCATCATTCCTTGGACTTTGGCTGAGATCTGGAACAAAAATTTCTCCTCAACGAAGTGAGTTGCTTCAGTGCATTTGGTAGGCTTCTCTCAGAAGCCTTGCAGTTTAAGTGCCAGGCCATAGGAGTATTTCTTCTTAGACTATGAATTTATGATTTCTATATGCAACCCAGTTGTGATAAGACATTGTTTATTGCATCTGTACAGTTTTGATATTAGTTCCCATCAAATAACAATGGTCAAACGGCAAGCTGCCCAAAGGGTGTAGGTTGTATACGTCATGTCCATTAGTTGAGTTGAGACAATTGTGGGTTACCACAATTTTTTGTTGTTTTCAAAACGAATGAAATCACATTGACTTTCTCTTTTAATGATAAAATCTTCTTTGGATGGGTGATGACGTTGCCCTTTTATTTTATTGCACATCCTTCCTCTCCCATCAGACAGAATCTAGATGAAAAGCCCCCTTTCTAATCCTAGACAGTATATCCACCCCATTTTGTTCTTTTATTTTATTTTCTCTACTCTGAGAAATTACACACTCTATTTTTCTAGCCATGTGCAGTTTTCATGACTGTAGAGTGGTTCTAAGCTGAACTTCCTGGGTAATGTGATCATCCCAAACCATTTTTTCTCTGCTACATGCCCTCTCCTTGATACTTCGTTTCATCTAGTTTTTAGGTATGCCCCTCAGGAGCCTAGTGGTTCTAGGTGTGTATATGATGGTTCTTCATGTGATGAAATGGCGACTTCCATGCCTATAATACTAAGTGTTAAACTAAAAGCAATGCTGAAGAATTCAACATACTCCTATTCCTATAGTACAAAGCAAACTGATAGAAAACTAATAATCAAAAGCAAGTTAATATGTTTGTTTTTTCCTTCTCTGTTTGAATAACTCATCCAAAACTTTCAACAGTAATGGCAATGGATTGGATTCCTTTTCAAACATTACAGCAGCTAATATTTGGTAATTGAGTGAGACAGAAGACAGAACAGCAGCTACTTATTTGGTTTTTCAGTGTCTCACAGTCAGCTTTCGGTCCTGTTTTTTGAGGCCTTCTTTCTTGATTACTACAGTTGTTGAGTCATATACACGAATCATGGTCTAGTACCGTAATTTAGTCCAGCAGTACATACGCTAGCTACGTCCAAACATGGGGACAACTTGAAGTAGTCAAGTAAAGAGAAGTAGCATGAGAATAGTTAAAATTACATTCCTTTCTAACAGATAACCCTGATACAACCTTCTAGTTCAGAAGCCCATAAAACTTGAAACCCCCCAAAAAGATAGATTTAATAAGCTAATAAACATGGAAACATGAGTAAATGTAAACCAACCGTTGGTAGGAAGACACTACTACTTGCCTATATAACCGAAACTGGAACAAACTACTACTGTTGAGACTATGGATTTTACACAAAAGGGGTGTCCTTTATCCTAGTAGGGTCATAATATCAGCTTCTTCCACTCCTTCTAAATCTCCTTGCAGCTGCCAGCATCAGTTACTGCTGGTGTTAGCATGGTTCTGGTTGGAGCTTGAACCCAGGTTGAGGTCAGGTATATTGTTATTAGATGATTTTCCTTTTGGGTTTCCCTTAGAGAGCTTCTGTTTGAGTTCAGACAGCAGTGCCTGATTCTCCTGGTTGAGAAGCTGCGCTTTCTTCCTTAGCCTCTCATTTTCTTTCATTATGTAGCAGTTCTGCAAGTACAGCTTGGAGTTCAGTCTGTCCATTTGGTAGCGCACAGAAATATGTTATATTTCCCAAATGCCTGAATGCCCTCCTGAAACCTGAATACACCCAAAAAGAGAAAATATGAGATTCGGAAAGGAGAATCTTAGATACTATAATTTAATAAAATACAGCAAATAGAGACAACATTGTGATGCAAAATCCTTGTAAAGTAACATATTTATCTAACCTCTTAAAAAGCATATCTATGTAATATATATTCAGTAATAATGATATGGTTTCCAGAATATCTACAAATTTAAAATACGAGTAGCTTACATAACAGAACGAAAGAGCACAAGATGATCAATGCAATCCTAAATAACTCAAAATCTAAGGTAGAATAGAATGATCTCCATTCAGTTACCAGAGAAGTTATCAAAGAAATGCAATAAACAATAAACTGCAGAGTAATGATCGCTTCCTGCCTCTGATTAGTTAATGCAATAAAGAAGCAGGGAAAACAGAGTGACTCAAGAAACAGAGGGAAAACAGAGCAAGTGAAATGGTAAGAACCAATTGAGAAATGATGGAATGGCCCAACTGGGTTTAATATGTCGAGCACAGTGTGAGTTGTCCAGAAAACGAAAGGTGGAAATGGGAATAACAGGTTGTCCAAATCTATACTCATCACAAATGGGGTCTCTTTCGGTTTGCCAAACATGTAAGCAAAGGATAATAAAGACTAGTATGAATGACTCAAACTACAGAGTGAACTAAACTTCTGTCTCAACTTTGAACCATAAAAAGGTGCAAAATTTTAGTTCGTTGAATCAAACAAAAATGGCTTCTCCTCCTATAGAAGGGCATAAAAATAAAAAAAAGAAGGAAATCCAACGAGGTCAGACAAGCAGAAAATAGGACATTACCTCCTCAAAACTGAGGTTAAAGTAAGAGACAAGTCAAAGAAAACTAGTAGAGCAACTGGTGAAGTCGAACTAACAGAATCTGAAGAGCCCTTTTCACACCAGACACAAAGAGAAGTAGTACCACCAATATAGACGACCATACGGAGTTTATCCTTTCTTTCTTTGTTTGTGCAAAGGAGCAAGAAGAATGTAGTATAACTATAAGAGGGAGGGAGAGAGAGGTGGGGTCGGGTTGCCTTTTCCTCTCTTTATATTTTCAAAAAAGATCACCTTTTGTTGTTGGTTAGATAGCCTTGTTAGGAGCTGCGAAGAAGCTCTCTGGCTGGGTGGCTGCTGCTGTTTTCTTTCTTTCTTTGCTGCTAGTTTGTTTGTTTGGCAGTAGTAAGTAAGCACGTTAGTGGAGAGTTTAGAACAGAGATATCTGTGGAGGAATGGGAAAAGGGAAGTGAGGGACAAAGGGAACAAACGAGAAGTGGTTATTATATAGAGCCAAAAGCTGGAATGGAATAGGGAGAGATGGCTGTCTGGCTGCCCTTCGAGAGAGAGAGAGAGAGAGAAGAGGGGACATGCTTCTCTTCCCTGACACAACAATCATGCATGTGTAAGCATGGAAGGCGGCCGGTTAAGACCCCAAAAAAAAAAATTCAATGTTACATTTTCTTCCTTTCTTGCCATTGTTGTTTTTATTTCTCGTGAGGTTAGAACTAGAAGAAGGATGTTCTCTGTTGTGTTGTGAATGATGATGAAGGATATGAGGTCATGTGAATGATGATGGTGGTGAAGAGAGGAGGGGCATTTTGGTCACAGAGAGCTGCCATTATTATTGACATTAGAGGGACAATTATGGATATTTGGGGGCCTAAAGAAAAATCCATCTCTGTAAAAAAGATAAAAATAAATAAAATAAAAAAGAGAGAAAAAAAATGATGGTGGGGTGGCTTGGCTAGGTGCCGTCCCAAGATTCGCAATGATGGTTTGGATTGGTTCTAACCATCATCACCACACACACACACATTAACCCATCTTCACCATTTCCCATCATTAACTCTTCTTCTTCTTCTTCTTCTTCTTCTTCTTCTTCTTCCACTCCATTACAGTTTTGGACCCTTTAGTTTGCCACTTTCCCATATTATTTCTTGGTTTGGCAACTGTGGGTAATAATTATGATTTCTTCTTTTGCTGTAATATCTTTTTTTGAACCATTTCTGAACGAGAGAGAGAGAGAGAGAGAGAGAGAGGGCAAAGGGTACAACCAAAAGTTTGGTGGTTTTATTGTACACCAATTTTTGCTATACCCAAAAGTATGGTCTTCATCTATTAATGCCTATACTCTATGTATCACTTTAGATTTCTCATGAATAGTTCAAAGTCCTTGGACTGGATCATCATAATGGGTTTTTTAGGGTTATGTTGGATTAAACTCACTCACATTATATACATGGGATGGAACAATATTATGTGCAGCAGGTAGGAACTCGAAAAGACATGTATAGCTAGCTACATTACATACAAAACATGAGTCTCGTTGGCAGTTTTTCCCCCCTCTGGTTTTGGTTTTTTGTGAGTTATTATGGTTGATGGTGTTTTGTTTTACGTTATTAGTATGATGATAATCATTGTAATTGTAATTATAAGCATGGCATCATAAGGTTAAAACTAAAAGCACCATTTTGCTTGGCTGCCACCATATCTAATAAGAGAGGAAGAGGGTGGGTTGAAATAATTAGGAGATGGGGGAGAAGAGAAGAGAGGGTGAAATGGGTAATGAGTGCCTTAACGTGAAACATCATGGCCTTATGCCAGAGTGTGCGTCTCTTTTCTCCTTTTTTTTCCATCTCCAAAAGGGGCAAATCTGTCATTTAAGTTCCAGGCCCCTCGTGGAGCTCGTTCATGCAAAATAAAAAAAAGCCATATCTGCTATATATGCTTACATATACTTCCAATCGTAGATTTCCTATTGCTTTTTCTTTGTTTTTAATGTTTGGGCATGAAATGACTGAGCAACCCTTTTAACTTTGCAGGTTTTAGAGAGATTTGAAAATGCTGGAATTACCAGGGTGGATTTTTAACGTGTTCATGAGGTAATATTAACGTTAACATAATTCCTTCTGCTCTCTCTCTCTCTCTCACACACCAAAAAGAAGAAGGAAAAAGCAAGAGGAGAGGCACCATAATACGGCATTAACTGTTATTATGATGCTGCAAAACTATCATGCAATGTGGTTGTGCTTTCCTCATTTTATGCTAATGCCTTAATTATATTTGCTTTACTACTTCAATGGACTCGAGACAGCTATATATAGAGATAGAGAGAGAGAGCTTCTCTTTTGTTTTTAACTTTTGGGTGGAGTGGAGGTGTGAAATGGGTTTCTCTTTTACTTTACTGTGAACTTATGATTGTTTTGTTTGGGGGATTGGATTAAATTATTGATTTAGAACAATCTGAAACACTATGTTTGTCACCATCTTAGGTAATTAGATTAGGCATTCTTTTAGGCAAAGTGGGATTGCATGTTTGCAACAAAAGGGACAAGGGATGGACATCAGTGTGGGGATATGCCTTGTCTACCTGACTAACCAACCACTTTTTGGTTCAACCCTTCTCTTCTTTGGCACTTCTTTTCCTAGATAAATGATAATTGTATTTATTGGAAGAAAAGGAAGAAACATATTACTGTAGGCAAATGATACAAATATGGTTTTCTACCCCCCGAAAATTATTACTCTCAATATGATCCTAAAGCAGTATTAATGTACTTATAGCTTACATCTAGTTTCAAATTGACTACAAACACTCTCATCACTTCTTAATTGCTTTGCTTATCACTTATTATCATTTTGTCAAGATGGCTGATACGAGTTACTATGCTACGCAGTTCTTGAGTTGGTTTTGGTGTTGGTTTCATAGTGTATATGATTAGAGATGTCAATTGAATTGAGATTCATGGTAATCAATTCGATTCGACTCAGTTAAAGCGAGTAAAATTCAATGTTGACGGATTTTTGGATTGGGTGCGGATTTTCTTTTTTTAAAGTTGGCGAGTTGGTTTGATTTTTGTCAAAACCAACCCACTTCCATTCGACCCGCACCCAGAAAGCAAACGACGCTTTTTGTGCTTAACCTTAATAATATTGCTAATTTGTGGATGTTATTAGTCTTTATGACGTATCTTCCTAACAATATGGATAATAACGGATGTTACTAGTCTTTATTGAAATATATTTGTAGGAAATTTTCGATAAATATTACGATTTGTGTGTTCAGAGAACTAATGTGCGGTTATGTTTGTGAAACCACTGGTACTCATGCATCAGTGTGTGTCGGTGGGTTGCGTTTTCTCTTCTAAAACTCGGTCAATATTTAACTGTATTTTTTATGGTGTACTCGTTGGGTTGAGTTTGAGTTTAGAGAAATTCGATCCATTGTCATCCCTATATGATATTTGGTTTAATTTGTCAAATAATTTAATATTTATTCATCGAATTATGGTATTTAGATTTGGTCATCGGTTTAGTCGTAATTTTGAGTTTTTATTTTTCTAAATTCGTTATAATTTTATTTTTCTTTTTTGGTTAATAACGATAATGTTGATTTTGTGCTTTTATAGATTTTAGACATTTTGCACATGTTGTTCGATAGAGTTCGGAAAAAGTAGAGAATAACTTTGGCATGAATTTCATTGGTGATTGAAGTTTTCAATTCACAGTTTCACTTCGTGTGACATATCAATAATTATGGTAGAATATAATTTTGAGGATATGGGGTCATAACACTCTACAACATACTAACACTATCACAAGTTTTACTTACAAACTTACATAGTGAAAAATAATGGTGATTTTATTTCATTATGTCGTTACTATTGTTGATGCTGGTGGGATGTATATGTTATTTTCTATTTTATGGCACATAATCATTTTTGTTAGGGGGCTAAGGTTCATGCTGATATTGGTAATATTGGTGCGTTAAAAGATGAGACATCACCATGGATACTCAAGTGAAGATAACGAACTAGAGGAGGAAACGTACAAGCCAAAAGAGCTAAGGAATGAGCTTGACGAGTAAAGAAAAGAGGTCGGTAATACTCTAGAGCATTATCATCTTGACGCTAATGTTATGTCTGAGACCGTGAAACACTCGATATCGCCCCAATAGAGTTTGAGTATTTTGTTCATATGGGCTGATGGGGGTTGTGCATGAATCCTTTTTTGGAATGAACAGTTTTGAATTCTCTCTCGTGTGTTGTGAATGTATGAATTATTGAGCGAAAGAGTGTGTGATTTTTAATAAAAAAAGAGTGATTTTTAGAGTGATTGTGGATGATGATTTAGCATAATTAGACCACTTGGAGCCTTGTATTAATTCCCAAAATTTCAAATGTGAGGGCTCCAAGTTGGCTGTTTTGCTTCCAATACGATTACTTGCTTTGAAGCGTTAAATCTTGTTCGCCATTGTCTTGACAAATGTTGAGGATCGTAGTGCGTGGGATGTCTTCAGCGAAGTGGTTTTGTTCGATTTTTTATGTAGGTTTGTATGAATTTTTGAAGGATGATTAGTGATAAGTTTGCATGTGAACGAACCCTAGTTTTTTTCTTGGGTATGACATAGGAAATGTGCTTGATTCTATGCTTTCTCACAAGAAGTAAACGAACCAAATAAGTAAGGTATAATGCCTAAACTAACCATGTTGTGGAAACCCATTCTAGAAACACGATTGCGTTTTGGGACAATGCACACGGGAGATTCGAATAGCTTTACCCCGTCCAACCTCCATCTTACGACTTTACTATCCTCTTGTGTATGTCCCATCATGGGTCGAGGTATTCACCATACTACCTTCCGTCCTCCTTATATCACTCTTACTTGCTCGGCCAAAGTGTACCATAAAGCGTACAAGATTCATCACAAAGATGTGATGCTACAATAAGAACCCCCAAAGCAAATCTCAATATCAACAAAGGTTACCAAGAAAGTGTAGAAAAAAATCGAAAGAACACCAGTCCTTTCACCTGCCCCGAAGAGCTTTGTTTTGCACCTTGCTCCTGTCGCCATCATTTTAGAACATTTATGTTGACCTTTCCCGAGTAAATCAAGTTAGATCATGTAGAATTGGGAAGGTCTTAGCAATTAGAAACCTGACTCCTATGAAACACATTAAGTGGGAAAGATTTGGATGCCTCAAGTATCATGATTTATCGTATGTTGGCTTGGGGGCAATCAAATTTTGGTGTTATTTAGTCCTCATTTTCGACTTTGCGTGCTAAATCACCGTGTCTAGTACACATATCAAGCTAGTTTAGATCGATATTCGTTTCGATTTGTAAAACATCCATTTTGGTATGAGTTGGCTTGATAGGAAGGTTTTCATGGGGAAATGGATCCCAGTTTGTCGTATTTTATGCTTTCTTGATGTTTGTAATGAAATTTCAGGTCGTACATTCATTTACAATTAATCGGGAATTGATTTGGAGTTCATTTGTGCATGTTTTCATTGCATAGGAGCAAGAAGGGAAGAAAAATTATAGGTCACGACCACATGTGGCCTTGGGGCCAAAGGGCTTTTCAAACCACAGAAAAATAGAAAAGTATTCGCGAACTTCAGCAAGTAGCAAACAAGAAGGCAGAACGTCTCACCCGACTCACCGCCAATGGGGATTTTCAAACCACGACTAATCATGATCTCATGCTGAAGGTCGTGATCTCGACACTTGATGATGATGAGAAGACGTGAAGTATCAGGCAATTTGGAGCAATTTTGGCCTGTTAAGGCCACGTCATGGCCTGGTTATGACCATTGCAGTCCAAATCGTGTTTTAAAACTTAAAACCTTACGCTTTTACCTTTTTAGGTCACTAAAATGTTTCTACATAGAATCCTGATTTTTTCTTACAAATGTAGTCAAAATCTACGATTTAAAACTTAAAAGCTTGCGGTTTTATGCTTCGAGGTCATCCAGCCGCTTCTAGTTAGAATCGCTCTTTTGACTGCATTGGTTACGTCCATGTCAAGGATGTGACGGGCCAGTGACCATGGAAGGCTGTGATCTGCTGCTGATTTTCTATAAATAGCCTATCTTATGGGTTTGACGAGGGACAGCCGACCTAGAACGAAAAATTAGGATTCTTGGGTCATTTTTAGAGAGAGAAACATCTTGGGTGAGTTTGGGAGAAGATCAAACCATCCAAGGATCAAAGAGAAGGTGCAAATCAAGGAGAAGAAGATGATTTCCAACACTTCTCCTCTTCTTAGTTTGCATTTTCTCTCTCTGGCTTGAATCCCAAAGGTTGATTAGGGAATATGAATCCTAGCTTCTAGATTGTTTATGGGTCATGTGTATGAATGATATATCTAATTGATGTTTGTGCATGAGAATTTTTTACTTTATTATGATTGATTTGTTCTTGACTTGAGAGATAAACATCCCCTTAGGTGTAGATTGGGGCATACATCAATTAGTGTGGGATTGTCTATATCCTATTTGCTTGTTTTCAACCTAGGTGATAGGGAAATTTTCATTACTTTGCACATGAATCTATGGTATAATTGAGTTTAACTAGAGTGTTAAATGATTCTAATTATGGTTTAGATGTGCATGAATGCTTCTTACCTCGGTTGGATGACCTAGAGAACTAGCTAGAGGTCCAAGTGACCATCCTCTTCTAGTTAGATTCTCACATAGTTGATGCTTGTTGGGTAAGTGCGTGACCATTGACTTACCCGAATTCTGTGCAGATGGATATAATCCGTTTAGTGGAGGTAGAACCCATCGTTAGTTAGATAAATCGATTGAGGTGACATTGGGCTGGTGAACCTAGCTAGAAGGGGGACCGATTGCATGACCGTTGAGTCGATCCCCACCTTCATGATATCCGCATCTCAAAGTACCATTATATTATTTCTATATCAACCTATAGCTAGAAGAACTCGATCCTAGACAACAATCTCATCTCTAGCGGTCTCCCAACCACTTGGTTGATCGTTTAGTTAGTTAGTTAGGTTAGGTTAATTCTACTCCCACCTTCCTATTTGATTATATAGTAGTTCGGAGTAAAGTAATAGTAAGCCTAAGGTTTCCCTGGAATACAACTGACCCACTTTACTACAATCATATTATACGCATATTTGTCGTTGTCAGGGTTAGAGTAGGTGTGCTTCGACTTTACAAATTTATAGTTCGACCCGCACTCGTGTCACTAGATGATAAGAATGAAATGTTTATTAATTTTGAACACCGCAAACTTCCAGTATGTTGTTTGGCTTGTGGTGTATTTGGGCACGACAGCTCTGTAGCGGAGGGAATGGAGAAGAGATGAAGCAAGTTTGGTCTTCAAATGACCCTGAGGTTATTTCTCTGGATGTAAGAGTCTGTGTTGACCCTCAACTTGAAGTTGTGGTGCGCACGATGGATAAGGGGGGAAAAGCGGTGGAAAGTGTAACACCCCGAATTTTGGGTTTAGAATCAATCAACAATAACCGAAATACTCAGATTGAACCAATCACATACGTACCAAAATTTACCCTGTAATTCCCAAGTTGCCCTTAGATAATCTCAACAACTATTCTATAATAGTTCTAAATTAAGCTAAATACAATTTGGCCGATTAATGGAGCAAATTCATTATATTTGGACTGGCCAATTATTGTACATCGGTTACTCCTTTTTCCCCCTTAACTCCTCTTAGCAACCTAAGTATAATAGGAAACCGAAGCTATAGAAAACCAAAACCAGTCTCTTTTTGTCCTCTCGGCTTTTCCCTTTCAGCGAGAGTAAGCTCCGCTACAGCTCCCTTCTCCACCGTAAACACCACCGCCACTCCTCAACAGCAACAGCGAGAACCCTCCCCCTCCCAAAGAGATCGCCGGTTGTTAGGAGAAAAAGAAAGTGATCGAGGTATCCTTCCATAGATGCGTGGATTCTGTTTCGGTGGTTGAGGGAGGTCACGGATATGCGAGGTCGGACATAGAGGGATAGCAATTACCAGGTGAGACTGTGGCATTTGTTTTATAATTCTTCTCGTACGTGAGCTTTTGCTTGCTTTATTGCCTTCACCCGACAACTATATAAACTGATTGGCGTGTGATGTGTTCGATCCGTGGCGAGGACTACACAATGATGTATGACGAGGTTCATAAAGGGACAACGTTGCCGAGGATTAGATGCGAGGGTACATATATGTTTACGTAATGGGATATGGCTTTGGGAGACAGACGCCTTCGACGAGAAAGGGGTCAAACTATCGAGCAGTTAGTGTGGATTTCGATTCCAGTCAACTGGCCTGAATAATAAGGTGAGTGTAAAGGGGGTAAAATCTCTGTCGAGGTCTTCTAGTTTATTTCTTTTCATTCAGTTATGTTTGTTATTTTCAAGTAAGCGCGGTCGTGTGTGTGAGGCATCCCACCGCCTACTTAAGGTGGAGGCACGTGTTGTGCTATGTATGTGATGTATGGTTATTGGTATGATGAACCCCCGAGTGGTTGGGCCACTACTGGACGCAGTAGTTGGTCGGATCACTGTTGGACGGAGAGACGTAACGCGGCAGTTGATCGTGTTTGTTGGGGTCACTACTGGACGGCGAGACGTAACGCAGTAGTTGACCGGGCATGGACTGGAGGGCGAGAAGTAAAGCAATGCCATTGCCGAATTTGTGTGTGCAACCGGATGGCGAGACGTAACGCGGTTGGCATACTAGAGTAGGGACACCGGACGGCGAGACGTAACGCGGTGGTCCTAGTTTCTTGTGTTTGAGTTAAGGATAGAAGTCAATAACTTCTAAGAGTTATGACGGAATAAAGTATTAAAGGATAGAAGCTGAGAACTTCTATGGGACAAGGATAAGAGTAAATTTCTGCTATTAGTTGACAGTTGTGTTGAAATTAAGGTTTTAAGTAGGGGTGGCTATACGGTCCGGTCCGGTTAAATTGGACCAAATTGATCCGGTCCCAGTCCGGTCTTTTCGGGAATATAAGGACCAAAAATTAGATTGGTTACAGTCCGGTCTTGATCCAGTCCGGTCTTGACCCGGTCCGTTCCCAATTTTATCGTGCTTTTATGTGCTGAGAGTCTCTTATCCGGTCTTTATCCGGTTTTTTACCTCAAATCTAAGCCCGAATATGAGATTGCATTGTTTGCTATCCGGTCCCAGTCCGGTCCCGGTCCGGGTTATACGGTCCGGTTTCGGGTAAAACCAAACAGTTCGGGACCAAATAGCCAGCCCTAGTTTTAAGGATGAAAACGAGAAT